TCTGACTTCCAAATCTGCTAAACGATTCTAGGAGAGAAGTTACGGACCTTTTTTCCTACTGTGCTAATCATGCGGTGGGCCCCTGCCCATACTACTGTGTCAACCACTCGTGACACAACCGCAGCTGTGGCTCGATGGCGCAGCTGGTAGGTGAGCGGGCTCGTAGCAGTGGGACAAAGGTTCAAATCCTTGATGCATTTCGTAGTTTTGCTTTTTCTTGAAACGTATGCTAAGCATTTGTGAATGAAATTTTTTTCAAAATTTCTTCACAGGGCTCAATGAAGAGCAGGAAGGGGCTTCTAATGGATGCACTAGTTCCTAAAACTACTTTCCAAATGTTGAGCATACGTTTCAAAAAAAGCGAAACTACTAAATGCATCAAGGATTTGAAGTTTCGTCCAGCTGCTACGAGCGCCCTTACCCACCTGCTGCGCCATCTAGCCGCAGCAATTATCCAGCAGGGCTCAACTCTTACACCAACATCAAATCGATCAGACGAATGAATTTCCTGAAAAAGGGTAGCCGCTCGCGTGTTACTGTGAACGCTATTGAAATGATGTAGTCAGGTGGGAGGCTATGCTTCTGCAGTTCACGCCTTCTTCTACCCGTTTCTCATTGCGTAGCAGGTTTGCTTGACAGAGCGGAATTACTGAGTTTGGCAAATGTTCGGTCTTCTTCGGAACTAAACAACCTTTTCATTGTAGGATGGGATCCCGTCCAATTTGGATGCTTTCTTCTTGGAGAGAAAATATTTGGTTAATCAGTCGTCTTTTGCGCTACTATACCTCACAGATTTCCACTACCCACTGGGGTATGAGGAGCTCTGCTGGCAAGGTCGCAGAGCGCACACGACAAGAGCTGCTTCTTCGGCCTTGTAGCAATTTTAATCTTGCGACTACTATTCAGATACCTCTTTTAGAATAAAAATCATTCGTTTGGATGAGAACAGACAAAAAACACGGAAAATGGAAGCAGGAAAGAAATAATCCCAGCGCCGCACACATTTGTGCCTTATTCAAAGAGCCTTATTAAACTGCGTCACAGCGGACGCCTTGCCTAGCTTAGGAACAGGAAGAACAAGAGCAGTGTTCAGTTGTTGGTTCTCAGACAAAATTCTTTGCAATGCCGTCAGTAACACAGATTTCATCATGAAGATCCTTGCACCAAATGGGTGTTCTGCAAATGATGTTTGGTGGTACAGCTGTTCTATGCTGTGTATAAGTTTAACGTTCTTCACCACTTCATTTGAGCAGTCGGCGCAGTTCGCCATGGTGGGGAGCGTTTTGCACTTTCGCTGTTTCCCATCGTCGTGTCGAGCCATCAAGTAGAAATCCGCGAAAGGCGAAATTATCGAGTGATACCTGCCAAAGTTTGCAAAAGTTACTCAACTCGTGTAATGTATAAAGACCACTCTTGTTAAGCAGAACACAACGCTAGAAGGTAGCGCAAGTGCAGAAGGCCCCTCCCAAACCGAACTACACCGAGCAGTCTTATAGCTGATTTGCTGAATGGAGCTGGTTTGCCCTTGCACTTATACAACACATTGTTCGCTTCTGCTTCAAATAAGTTGCCCTACAAAACTTAATTTTCACCATTGGATAATGTTCAGAGCACTTACTTGCTGCCACTTTTCGCGAAAACATGCTTCAGTATAGTGGTCGGAAGAGGATTTTCAGAACTGTTTTTCGTCCTTACCTACCGTAATACCATAGAGCTGGCGCCTGAACCATCTTTACCAGTGCCACTTCCTTTCTACAGTAATCCGTGCGAGAAAGTTACGAGCGTAAAAACTCCGAACACTGAACGTCTTGAACGCTTTACACCAAAATGTCTTGAATACTTTACACCTCTTCCTCACGTTTTTCTCATCATCTGATCGGTCGACAAATCGTAGCAGTTTTACTTCATTTCACACCACCAATTTCGTTTATGGCGTTCCAAAGATCAAGTGATTCTGAGCGGCTCGACTAGACGTCGTCCTATCTGCTTTTACGACCCCGCTACAACTATCCAGCACGCGCACTCCAAAAGTGTGCGTCAAAATACACTTTTTAGAAGGACATCGTATGGGTAGACAATAGAGATTGTTGTTAAACTGTTTACGGTCGCCTTTCACAGTGCCCGACAACCTTGGCTGGATTGAAAGCGAAAAGAAATATGGTTTAGTAGGGCAAGTATATGTGCATCCCCAGCTGCCATAGGGATCTTATTTTCTGCTAAAAGCTTCCAAATGAAGTTTCCGGCACGAAAATATGATGCAAATATGTGTAGATCGTTCCCAGAAGGATGCGCATCTCACATGACTCCCTTCAGACTATCTTAGGTAGGCACTCGTTTGGATTTTGCTCTGAAAACAACTGCAAAACACAGAATCCTGGAGTTAGGGTTCCTGTAGTTTAGATAGATCTGGTGCAATTCATTCCGTATCGGAGCGTGAAGAAACTGTATCCAACGATCTCACGTTACGCCATATATGACAGCAAACAGAAGCTGTTCGGGCGAGTTAAACTTCACTTTACTTTAACTTCTCGAGATTTAAGCTTTTTTGATGCTCCGCACTGTTTCGCCAGCCGTCTCACTACTGGGATGGTCTTCGGCGTACCCGCAGCATAGTCGGCGCTTCTGAGTGAGACTCACTTTCCTCATCAAAGGGGGGATGGGTCAGAATCGTACAGGTGTTCTTTTTCCTTTCTTCCACTTCCTTGAGTGCTGACGAAAGCGTGCTGTTCACTCTAGAGCCTTAAAAGCTTCAACCAGCTCTATACTTTGAAATTCTTCGAAACTGAAATTCAGGTGTATCTTTCATGAGAAAACGAAGTGCTCATGTACAATCAAGAAAGTGAGATGAAACTATTAGAAAACTGCGATTTTGGCATCTTCCAGATTTTTTCGCCACTGCACCTGACTTTCTACCCTGAAGTCCACAAGACTAGACACGAGGTTCGTCCTTCAAACGTTGTCTAGCTAGCCTTTGATGATTGTAATGTTTCTCTCTGTTGTGCCGTTGATCAGACCACGAAAGGGTGAGTCATCTCGGCAGTTACTGAAAATTTCAAAGAACAAAGTAAAAGGCTGGAGAGAAACGAACTTATCGGCTTACTCTAGGTTTTCGGTTGTCTCCCTCTCTCGAATTTCGAGGTCTTTGATCTGGATTCCGTGAAAATTTGACATTTCAAAGTGCAAACTTTCAATGTGGACATTGCTTTGAACCCAGACAATTTAATCTCAACCACTGGCCCGTGATAAGGCTCTAGTGCTGTCCTAGTTTCCGATTCTATAATACCTGCTCCCATTTCCTTCCCATCACGATCGCTCAAGTTGCTCATGAGCCTCCTTACGTGATTGTTCTTCTCGTGATTGTCGGTCTCGATCGTCTAACTTTTATTACTTTGGATCTGGAAAATAACCTAATTACAGTGTCTCAGATCAACCAATAGCGTGGTTGCGCCACCCACTCACTCTCTGGCCATAAACCATGAGCCTCGCATTGAGCGATCGCACAAATCAAGTGTAACGATCACCTAGGACTCAATTACTTTCCCTACTGACGCTGGCGTAGAACGAAAAAATTCTATGCAAACGAGGAAAAAGACAAAACAAATACCTTGGAATTTACTGCTAAATTGTGAAGAAGATGAAAAAAATTTCGCTGTCCAATATTTCGCTTCTCATGTTAGAGGATAACTCCATAGAGAGATTACTCCATCGCTTATGAGTCAGCCCAATAGATTCAGGGGTTTATTATGGGGTCATTTCTGTCATTTGGTTTTCTGTACTTCAAAGGAAGCCTTCGCCTTCAAACCCTCACAAGTGACAATCTCCTTTATTCATTTCGCTGTTACTGCCGTTTCTTCCAAAGATCTGGGTGAAATACTTTTTTCTCCTTAGCTTTCGACGTGGTCGCCTTTTTCAGAGACCTAAGCGTGTTTCGAGTACGAGCGCCACCCAGTCAAGCGCCCCACAACCCAAGCAGTTCCAATGAGGCGGACGGAACTCAACAGGAAACCCTGCACAATGGATCGAGTGCACCCACAAGGTTTCCAGCGTAACTTCGCAATCACATGCGGATGTTAGTCAGAAGCAAACGATGCTCACTACAGCCTTCCCTTTCTTCTAAAGTAATCGAGGAAATGCAGGTAGTACCTGCTACCTATAATTCACAGTACGGTATGAACGGCAATAGGTCATCTGCCATTGACTAACACTCATCTCGGCTGTTCATTCCAGGATTTCTTCACGTAAGGGGTTGCACCAGGAGAGGAACTAACTGGCTGGACGTGGAGATCCTAAAAGCGTGGGATCAACTGAGTAGGAAATACCCTGCTACTTTCTACGCGTTGCGGTGACCTCTACCCTGCTCAATACGTACACTCCTCGACGGATTGCCCTGCTGGAGTTGCAAGAATCCGAAAAATTTGTGCAATACATTGAGAAGGCGTTGAGAATAATAATAACGTCTCCTCATGTCTACGTTTCCCGAATTAGAGCAATTTTTGCTCATTAATTTTATAAGACATGATCTACGATCCCCACCCTCTGGCAATTGCTGGCAGGGCACATTGAGGAGCACCTCTGCGAAATACGACCACCCCGCTTTAATTTCCTCAGCTGGTACGATCCCCTTCTTCATCCCAGATTTCACCAACAAAAAATTCAGGTTCTGTTCCTCCCAGTGACTCTCCAGTTCTCGCCCAAAAGCGCTGTTGACCGGAAGCGGGGAGGGAGGAAGCGGGGGGGGGGGGGTCTGCACGTGAAACGGGAAAAACAAAAGTCTACAGTCGAGAACATTTCTCTCGAAAATAAATACGACTCTCCTTCCTGCAAGGACCAAACACGACCCTCCTCGCCACGGATCCCAGCGCTTGAATTGCCCGAGCTGCTGGTATTCATTCAGTGGCGATACGAGCGCTTTGTCGTAGTCTCGCCAAAGGACATATGAGAAGCAGTTCTCAAATTAGGTAGGCACCCTTTGTAATTAGGCAATCAAACCCCATTTACAAATGGAAGTCAATAGTCAGTCACTTGAAGAGTTGTGGTGCCCTCTGAGACTGAAGCATGTCATTCTGAGAGCTATAATAGAAATGCCTTTGTGTCAAGATCGAAGAAAAAGGTTATTTCTTGAGAAAAAGATTCTCGAAAAAAAACTTGTGTTTTGGCACACTTTGATGGTTTTACTTTTTCCTTCCTTGTCTTACTTTCTATTGCTTTTTCATTAACATCTTCCCTTCCCCACTTCACTATCCTTATTCCGATTTCATTTGCACAGTGCACATCGTACTAGGAAGCTAATCCTAGAACGCTGAGACACGTACTGAACCAATTACAACTTGCAGGAACGATATATGAGTCCTTGAAACTGCTAACAATAAGTTCCTTCTATGAAAGCCAGAATGACAGTAGGTTACCCTTGAGCGTATCGTATCAGCAGGCTAGCTTAACTCGATGTATTCAAGTTTATTTAGTCCAGCAGCAAAATCGAAAATGGTTGTGCAGAATTGCGCCCTGTGAGCTATGAGTTTCTTTCCTTGTTCTATAGAGTATTACACTTGTTGTCGTCGCAATTAGTGGAGGGAGGGGGGTGTGAGGCATGAAATGAGCCCGCTGGCAGCCTTTTTAGAGATTGTTTTCGTCCTGATTCAATCACTAACCGATAACTATTGGTGGACAACGCTGCCAGGAGCGGGCTTTTTCGATCCTTCCTGGGACCGCTCCGACTGATCGCGACGGTATGAACAGTGGATGAAGCATATGGACTTTTTTGGAGCGGGCATACATGAAGCGCTAGGAATATTCAACGGGATGAATGCATGCAGCGATATGTTAATTCGCGCTTATTTTGGCATGTTGCCTAGGTTTGAAAAGGTTCTTAGGAATTAACCCAGAAGAACGAACGGACGATCCCTAAGCCACGGCGATAGCATGGTAGTGGGATAAGATGACCCATAATTCACTGATCGCAGCATTCACTGAGGGTTATCTTATGGTGCATACGACAGGGTTGTTTGCACAACATGTAGACAGAGCAAGGAAAACAGAAAACAAAAAACCTGGGCTCTGAAACTCCGGAAGAGTCCCCAGATGGAGCAGTCTTTCCCTGACAGTACTCAACAGACCAGATGAGCTCAGGTAACCGCTTCACTTCTCTCTATGCCCCATGCCGCCTTCAACCAGATGCAGAAGATCCTGCATAAGAAAGCTTGCAGACTGCTAGTGATGGAATGTCAACTCTTTTCTGTTCAGAGATTCACCCGATGACATTCGGCTTATAAGTCTTGTGATGGTGTGGGTGGTGTGCACAATTTTGATTGTGGTGGATGGAGCTATACCACTTGCACAGATTTTGGCAGGAACTTCCAAGAACACCTCAAGCCTCGTCTCAGCTGGTGGTTCGTTAACATTTCAGTGAATTCTTTGTGTTTGGGTGTAGGATAAAACTGTGATTGCTAACAAGTGGGTAGCACTCTTTCCAGGCGTAGTTCATTTTTTATTCGAAGGTACGTAATGTGTACGCGAGGAAAAAAGTCATGCAACAGCCCCAGACGTAGTCGGCTGGAAGGGGTACAGATTTTTTTAATTTACAAATGTTTCTGTCATGAAAAAAAACCAAAGACAGAAAAATTTGCAAAGCCTCTCACATCGCGGCTAACTGAAGATTTCTAACGATAGGGCTCGCCATGCTAACGTGTGAGCGCTGTAAGGTTCCAGCATAAAAGCCGTTACAGCGTAGACGGCAGGAGCGGCCTCTGCTAGTGAACAGATAGTGAACCCACCAGGTAAGCGTAAGGCGCGGATTCGAGTTACGCTGGGGCTTAGGACTTTTTCCCACAACTCAGCATTCTTATGATGACTTATAACAATTGGATTTCAGGCATGTAATGACAGCTCTTGAGGCGAAGGTGGTGCAGTGACAAGGGGAGCGCTCAGCACCCGCACGGTCCTGGTTCGAATCCCGGGCCGACTCCCGCCCGAGTCAACCAAGCCTTCTACCCCCCTCCCCGAGGACGGTAAATTGGTACCAGACTTGTCAGTTGGGAGGATAAGAACACTGACTTGTACAGTCCTCATCATTACGTACTGTCGGGCGGCACAGCCGCGCTGCACTGTGACGCGACAGCGGCTGCGGCTCGGTGACGGTGAATCAGCTGATTTCGATGGAATTCGGCTGCAAATTCCCACTTTTTCAGCTCTTCAAGCTTCTAAAGTGGAAGGTGAGTTATTCTGAACAATTTTGAATTGTACTGGCTCTGATTTCCTTTATTTTTATGTCGATTATTATGCTCTTTTCCTTGTATTTTGCCTTATTTCAGGCATTTATTCAAATGGCTTACATTCTTTCAGATTCATTCAGAGTCAGTACAATTCTAAATTGGTCAGAATAACTCACCTTCCACTTTAGAAGCTTGAAGAGCTGAAAAAGTGGGAATTTGCAGCCGAATTCCATCGAAATCAGCTGATTCACCGTCACCGAGCCGCAGCCGCTGTCGCGTCACAGTGCAGCGCGGCTGTGCCGCCCCGACAGTACGTACACTCCTTCATCCTTGAGACGGGGTAGGCGTGGCATTTGGGCATGGCACAGAATGGGTCACTCGCGGGATATTTCAACTTGAGACAACTGTCATCTTGTTCTGTGGTGGACAAAACTATGACCACAATTTTCTCGCAATGAAAATATCTCACCGAAACTACAATCACCTCCGTGTTTAGTTGAAGTACGCAGCCACGCCTACCTCGTCTCAGGGATTCCGAGTGTACATAGTGATGAGGACTGTACATCGGCTGGCCTCCGCAAGTCATTGTATAGGCCACATCGCATTCAATAAGCCACTACGATTCTGAATGGAAGTAGAATGCGTGCCGCATCCCACAAAGGGATTGATCAACGGCGAAGACTTGATCCTTCCTTTTAATGACAGCTCCTGTATTCCGTACTTTTACTGACCCAACATTTAGGTTTTAGCCAGATAGAGTGGAGGAAACTCTGAAGTAAGTGTTGCACCACAAGAGAGCTCTGACTTTTCTACGTTCAGGCATCGACTGGAAGATTTGGAGCAGACCAACCAACCCAGAAGGTACTCCGAAAAATGCGGATTCGAAGCCACCGGAAACTCCCTAATCACAAATAGACCATATTTTTATTACAGTTAATTTTTGCATCCGAGACTCTGTAACCTTTCAACTGAAGAAAAGCCTTGAGATCGAGTTCCCGCTTGTTCTATGATCGAGCGGAAGATTAACAATAAAAGTGAAGTTATTCAGTACAGTCGAAGAGATGATCCACGCAGGCGAAAGGTGATGACGAAGTATCGATCGGTAATCAGTTCCTGCAAACTTTGTAGGAGTTCAAGAAGTTCAGACCATATGTGTACAACCTTTTGGGTCAAGGTGTGAGGATCTATCATCATTGCATCCTAAAGAGGAAAGGGAGAGAAATGTGTGCACGGTTTACGCAAGGATTCCAACACTCGCTTCCAACCACAAGATCTCACAAAAGTTCTTTCGTTGTGTACAAGGAAAAGAAGAACTCAGTCACGGACTATTCGATGCGCTTTGTCAGACGGGTCCAACTCATGAGGCATCCTTCAAAAATTTTCCCGATAACCGAGATTGCGGAGAAGCATGGCAGTTGTCAGTTAGGTGGAGCCTAGAGAGGTTGCCAACTTACTGGTGGTTACGTTCGGCTGCGCCTCAAGAAGCTTGAGTAAACGGCCGTCATTCTGTGCTGGTGGCCGACCTACACGTTGCCCACCTTCGAATTAAATACCTCCAGCTCTCAAGCGCTGATACAAACGGGACACTGTGACATGGCGAGCGACATCCTTCCTGAAGACAACGCAGGTGGTAGCTCCCTCGACTACGCGGAGTGGCCCTACAGGAACTCATAATATGGGATAGGTCGAAAAGTACCTTGACTTTGAGGGACTTTTAGGCTTTGAAAGCTTCCACAAAGTCTTGAGTATACCTGTCTGCAAAAACCTCAGATGACATTCTCCACTAATCAGTGGTGCAAACATTGAAAATGTTTTCTGGTCTTTTTCTAGAATAATTTAATCAAAGTGTCACAGAACCTTCCTCTCAACCTAATATATTACTACAATTGCGCACAGTCACCAGTTTTCCCGTGTGGGCAAGTAACACAATTTTCTGATATGCACTGCTTGTCGTAGAGCCTGTTACGGACCAGCTGCTGTTTGATGTTTTCATTTGGTATATTTACCAACTGGACATCGTCCTGCAGCTGTGCCCTTACTATGCTCCGTTTGATTGCAGCGCTCACCTTATCAGAAATGAAGGGGATACATAAAGTTTCGACGCGGTACTCCTTGTGGACCAATATGCCGCCTTCCCCGAGGGCGTGGTGCCGTATAGCCATTCATAACGGCTATTTTTGTGGCAAGCTCTCGTGATTCTTGTCGTTCTACATCTCCTGTGCACATTCCCGTTGCCGTTCGGAACATGTTCGGACAACAGCGCGTTTCTCATATAAGATTGAAGGATGTACGGACCTTCATCCGATGGGTGTAGCGGTGTTCTATGTATGAACATTGAACTGGATTATATAAATGTTTATTAGATATAGATACGATACATAGGGAAAGGGGGGAGATATGTTTATTAGATATTGATACGATACATAGGGAAAGGAGGGGAGAGGAGGTAGGCCGGCGAGCCCGGCCGAGGCTTAGAGACGACCAACTCCTAGCGGGAGTTGGGAGACGAATCCATTCCATTTCATTGCTGCCGGCTGGCAGCAGCTTAAGTACTCGCCGCCGCCGGTTACGAAACGCTGGACGGCAGGTGGCATGCGACGATTGGCTCCTCTTGCCTTCGCAACGAGGATACGACATCTCCATTCCTTACAGTAAGCTCGTCCTCGAGCTTTGAGCTTCCATCATGACTCGCAAGTATCCTTGGACGATATTATAGGATACACGCTAACTGGCGAGAATATGAGACAAGTGAAGTGCTGATGAAATGAGAGGAGCTTCACTGAGAGATGTAGTATTCAACATGATTCAGCTACACGAGGTGGTACAACATAGGAGAAAATTATAGGAGTGCGATGGCATGAGGCAATTGGATTGGCACTGTTCACACAGGTGCCATTACAAAATTAGAAACGTTGACCAGGTTCCTTTATGAGGAGCTGGTTAAGAGGCCGAAGAGCCGGTTCGCTCTCCGAAAGAATTAGCTCGTCCTCGAGCCTAAAGACGGGGAAAATAATTTCAAGGGACATCGGCGTTTCGTACTGTCAAAGGTAAACAACGATGTATCACTACGAGTCAGACAACTGGCGACGATACGAATACTAGTCTATTTCACTGCACTCTGTTTTTGCGACTAGTATAAGAACATTGGTGTAAACTATGATGCGAATACTAGTCTGGTTTTTATAACACAATATGTCGACTAGTATAAGGGCGTGTTAGAAAGTGCTACTGTTTTTGATTTGACACAAGAACGCTGCCTGAGTATTCTTTGAACCGCCAATTCAAAGAATTGTGATGTACTTTTCGCGACGGAGCGGCTAATGGAAGGAAAACTAAACTTACCGAAAGCTACTATTTTATAGAACAAGTAGTCCTTTGGTGATTATTCCTGATGTGCTGAAATTGCTTGTTTATCCTGAAGACGACGCGAGCGTCGTATTATTGGTTGCTCTTTGTCGAGTGATGTTTCCGTGGTTGATAGAGGTGGTTGAGGTTGTGAATTTAGGGTGGGAACATTATTCGGCAATGAGCGAGGAGAATACACTTTTCAGTCTGTTAATATGCACTGTCTGTCGGGTGGAGCGACCAACTAGGTTAGTGATCGAAAGAAAGATAGTGATCGAAAGTGATAGAAAGTTGAATCTTGCTTGATAATATCTTCCATTTTAATCTTTAAGAACTGCATCTTGGTATTCAGTTCTGCATGGCGGATTATCCTGACGCTGTTCATGACCTATTGTGGGGTCGTTATTCAAAACTGTAAAATCTGGTTCTGAATTCAGGGCAATATGGTAAGCAATTTTCGCGGAAACATTGGGTTGTATTTTGTAGAGGGTGCCTTTAGGAAATTCCATTATTGAAGCTTTAGGGTTCTGTATTGTAGAACTTAGAGCTTTATAATTATTGGGGTTCATTTTAGATTGCCTTTTCGCGCGCGATTTGATCCCAAAAGTGAATGGTTTCTTATCTAAAGTTTTGTTTTCCAGGGAGTGGAAAAAAATTTGCTAAGAAATGCCAGATCTTGGAATTGTTTGGTATAAGTGGTGTTTCCTGGAAGGGTTTGGATGAGACTACGTTTTGACGTGGCTGCAAATGGCATATCTCTCAGGGGATCGTCCACAGAACTTCGATAAGTTTGTGTGGTTTTAGTAATCACATCCATAAACTGTAAAATCTGTGAAGTTGTAAAAATGCTTTTTGTTGATGGAGTTTACTATGTCCGGATGTTTAGTGAACAGAGTGCGCGGATCGTATTCAGCAATTCTGGTAAAACTACGAATACTCCGTTGTCCATTGGGATCGCGTGCTTTTCCCAGACACCAGTTTTTCAATGTGGAAGGAGGATGTGTTATGTTTTTATAAGTAAAGGCTGACTGTATGCTATTTATTACAACATGGGGGGTGTTACATAGGCGAGCTCCTTCAACTGCTTTCGTGTAACGGCACAAAGGGGTTTCCGTTGGTGATCGGTTCCATATGACAGTGCCGTGAGACAGAATACAACGATTTTTCGCGATATTGCAATGTGCCATGTTCCCGAATTGGCCTATTAGGTGGTCGCCATCGAAAGTTGCTATTTCTCCCTGTTCATAATATAAATTTGCAGTGACTGTGCATTTTTCTCCGAAGAACTACGGGTAAGAATAACGGATTTCGCTTTCCGATCCGTATACGTTAGGTGCTAGTTGTTCCAAGGGGACTCCCATGTATTTCTTTGTTGTTGTTAGGGGTTGCATAGGAGTTGGTTCAACAGGAGTCATGAACTCCTCATCGCTTTTGACTGGGAACAAATATTTAGATAGGATGAAGCACAAATTTTCCGTATTTTATCAAAACAGTGGCATGCTGGTATAAGGAGGGGTTCTGTTCTTCCTACATAGAGAATAGCTGATGTAAGCAGGAAGTTCGAGATATTAGGAGAGGTTGTGCATTGTACTGGATCTGGGTAGACAATGGGCCAATCGGATTTACCTGCTGCACAAAGCTGGTACTGGAGAGAGTAGGATGATACTGGGGGGTTATTAGTGAACTAATTATGGCCAGTATGAAGAGTGAACGTTATTTGCCCGTTTCAAAGGTTGCAGTGGGAACGTTTGGTGTTACGACTGCCGTGCTGGTCTTAATTTGGGTGACGGGGATGAGTGAATTTTGGGGCGTCTTTCTGATATTCTTCTAAAAGAGTGTTCTATGTGTTACATTGCAAAGGTGTTTGTCATCGTAAGACGTTTGGGTTTGTGAATAGGGCGTAAATTTGTCACGTTATCGTGATGTGGGTGAACGTGAAGTCGGCGTCGGAATAAGTTGTTTCCTGTTGTCCTGTAATTTGAAACGTCTATTGGCTGTACATTGAAGTTACTGAATGGCGGATCAAGTTATTGAAATTAGACAAGAGAGCAGTAGAAAAAAGGGTGGTGACGTGGATATGTGACTTTTGCGCGGATATGGTCGATCCCGGCATTTGAGAGATTGTTGTGTGGAAGAGTTGTCCAGAACGCTATCTATTTTTGCGATCAATACATTGTCTCCCAATGGATCAGTGTCTGATTTGGTCAAATTCCACATTCTCTCGGCGTCCTGTACTAGTTTATCATAATTATTGGGAAGAGGCCTTAAGAAGTATTAGTTTAGTCTTTCACTGGGTTCGGAAAGAGCATTCTGAAGACCATGCTGAGAGAAATTGCGCTCTCAGTTAGTTTACATATTGGATAGCGTCTGATAATTCTTTCCTTATCTATTGGAAAAGACTACTTGGCGCATTCCCCAAAGTTCGCATTACGCCATATTCATCAAGTCTTCTCTAAGCCATATTCTAATTGAAGAAGAGGTCCATACTAAAGTGTGTGTAAGTTTGTTTAGTTGTTTATGTTCTTTACACGCAAGCGTGTGGTAGCACTATGAAGACCAT